AAGTTGCCTGCAAAATGATTACGGAATTTAATTATTCTGCTATCTCCGTTTTATTTTCTCTCTACCTCTTAAAAAAAAAAAGAGATTAATTATAGGCCTGCATATTTACGTTTTAATTTATATAAACATTAAAAAAATGGAGTGACTTTACTACTTATAATACTAGGAAAAACTAAAGTACAGATTGAAAAATAAAAGTCTTTTCGCGTGAAAATAATTTATTAAAAAGAAAAAAAAAGAAGGAAAGAAAGAAAGAAAGAAAAAACAGCAACATTGGATCAAAGTGAATCAACACTAAGTAATTTTTGAATTAATTAGGCAGATCCGCGTCGTGTCTATTCCAACTATCAATAGCCTCATAAGCCAAGGTTATGAACTTAGATCACACTTCTCAGATTTTTTTAATGATTTATAACATCAGGCGTGACATATTTGTTTTATTTATGAGTTGTTTAGTCAAAAGAACATGGTTGGGTCAAAGCTCATTGGCTGAAGGAATCGTGGGCAAGAAAATAATAACCTTATACATTGTAAATGTTTCTAACAATCTCCATTAATTCACTAATTTCTCATTAATATTTAACGATGTCAATAACCTATAAGAGCTTAAGAGTTAAGGGAGAAGAAGAAGAAGAGCGGCTTTTCTTTATATCGAATTTATTTTTACAATCGTCAAATCGACTTTAATTGAGATCGATGACTTTTGTTTATATGGTGAAAGATTTGTATTGGGGCTATATATATTTTTTTACTGGAGATGATCGATTGTTTGTTGCTTTTTATTATTATTATTATTATTATACTAAAAATTTTAACATTCATTTTTAATTTATGATTATAATCGCGTTATCTTTATCGATTTCCGCATTTCCACAAAAATATCAAAATTTATTTATAATTTACTTTCTATCTCATCTACTTATTTAAAATAGTAATTTACTGATTTTCATCAGTATCGATTTTGTAAATCCAGTTTTATGATAAAATATTCAACTAATTGACTTACCGTTACAGGACTATTTGTTATTTAAACTCAATTAAGTCGGTTCTATTTTATTTTCTTTACATAAAAAAAAGAAAAAGAAAAAAAAAAGAAATTTATTCTAACTCTTGTTTTTAATATATAAAATTAAAATGTAATTTTTAATCTATAGGATTAGATTAAGTAATCATTAATTACTTTATTCAACAGATTATCATTGTCATGTATCAATAGGCTGCTTGGTCTTTATATAATTTTATACAGATTTTGGTGGGTAGTTTTATTACTTTTTTTTCTTCTTTTTCTTCTTTTTCTATCCAAGAGACGTGAGTAAATTTCTACAGTTTTCATTGATTCATATTCACTTAGTGCCTTGTGCAAATAAGTGAAAATGGACTTGTGAATTTATTGGGATTAAAGCTGAGATGTTAGGATTAAACAGGATTTTAAAGGGTTTATATTGATAATATTCACTAAGAAATGCTTAGAAAATGTAATTGAATTCAGAAATTTTAATATTATATTCTTACATAGTTATTTTCACTAAAAATTAATTTTATAAAATTATTCTTGGATATTTTTTCCCCTCTCTCCTTTCCCTCTTATTATTATTCCTCTTTAAGATATAATTACATTTATTTATTATTTTTTTAGGTACAGAAATAAAATAATTTATTCTTCTATATTTGTTTTTATCGATAAATATCTAATCAATCTATTTATATAAGATAAAAAAATTACCTGATAATTTGTTAGATTATATTGTCAGACAATTTTTTTTCTCCTATTATCGATTACTTTTCTGATTGGAATTAATTATTAATTATTTATTATCTATCATAATTAACGTTATAACCAGTCTTATAATGTAAACAGCAATTAAGATAATACAAATAAATGAATTGTAAATGATTTAAATGTCCTATAAATAGTCTTTTATAAACTTTTATTAAATAAATAAGTATATATAGGTCATGAGAATGTGAAGGTCAAAGGGGATGAAATCGGGAGTAGGGGTGATATGTCCGGGTTTTATCTTAGCTTATATTTTCCTCACTGTCTTAGAGAGTAACACTGAAAAATTTCGTCCGGATCGGTGAAAGGGTTTAGAAATACATAAGGGACAAACATACAAACAGACATTTTATTTTATATCATTAATTTAAATGTTATAAATTTTTTTAAAGTTTGTAAAATAGATAAGCACGAAAATAATTTAATTTGTATAATTTACATCGATATTTTACGAATTTTTTTCGAAAATACATTAATATATATATATATATTTATTTATTTATTTATCTATTTATTTATCTTTTAGCTTTTTGTTCGTACTTGTTTGTTATTAATATGTATATATTTGTTTTTTTGTTGCTGTTGTTTATTTATTTATTTATTTATTTTTGTCATATGTTTGTTATTTGTGATGTTTATAATTATTTACCATTTGTTATGGCGCAGCTTAGCCTATATGGCTCTTGTGCCAAAAAACCAAAACCAACCAACCAGTGGTGCATTTTGAACTTCTCCTGTCCAAAGTTTGTATGTGGATGCTTATGAGCCTTTACTATCTCTCAGGAGAGAACAGTTGTCTTTTTTTTATTATATAAAACAGAAATCGCTTACTATACCTTCAGTAGATGGTGCAGTATCAGATACTCAGCTGAAAAGGTTATTTGAAGCTCGCCGAAGTAGTGTCCGTACATTCATCATAAGAATGGAGAATGTGAGCAGCACGATTGATCTGAACATAGGCAACATCTCACAGATTGAGGTTAATAGTATTCCACCTTGGTCAACCCTAGTGATAGATGTATATTTAAGCTTAAAGCAATTTCCAAAGGAATCAATTTCAGACTACGTCTACAGACAGCACTTTGCAGAAATTCAACGTTGTGACAGGAATTTAATTTCTATTTATACAGATGGATCTAAATCTGATGATTACGTTAGCTGAGCCTTTGTATGCCAGGATGAAATAGTGGCAGAACAAATTTCATCTAATTCTTTTATTTTTTCTGCAGAGTTGTATGCTNTTATTAACGTTATATATATATATATATATGTGTTTTTATAGTAGGAAAAATAGTAAATCTGGATAATTGCAAAATGATTTAGGTGAGAGTTGATAGAGCGAAGTAAACTTAGGGAATCGAATCCATTTCTGAGGATTGGTGAACCATTAAACTAATAGACTATGCATATTGTATTCCTGATTGCTTTGTCCTTCCGATAGGGCTTTTGTAGCGTGTCAATAGACTTTGTACTCTAAAAAAGTTCAAATAATCTTTATATATAAAGTTATAATTGATAATAGTCAAGGAATATCTAAGAAATTACTCTTTAAAATTGGATTAAAGATGTATCAAAATCATAGGTTATGAGTTTTTTGGCCATTCTTTTATATCCAAAAAGTACATTTTCTATAGATAAGAGTTATTATCCCTCTAACAGCCATGGAATGATTAGAACTAACTGTACGTGACCCATAGTAAATTTTAGCCTTCGTCTTTTATAATCTTAAGGATAAATCTGTTTCGAACAACCTTGCTAATGGAATTAACTTTTAATGAATAATCATTAAAAAAAAATATACCCCCTCTCTCTCTCCCCTCCTCTTTTACTTCTTGATGTAAAACATGTTTTCGACATCTTTCGGTTTAAACAAATTATTTTAAATTGTCACCTGAAAAGGGGTCGAGAAGTAACACTTTCTACCAAATCTTTCTAATTTCATTAAACAGTTAATCCATTTAGTAAGACGAGTTTTTTTAACAAGATTAATTTTCGATCATGCTTAAATTTTAGCTTCGTCATAACGTGAACGACGATAAATTATTTATCTACACACAATGCTGAAATTTTCTCTAAAATTCCTCGAGTTTGTTTATTTTAGGACCTAAGTTATCGAGTAAAAACACTGTCGAGTATCTAATTTATTAGTAAATTTGATTTTTTTTAATTTAAAAATTCGTAAAAGAGAGACGAAGTATGGAAAAATTAATTTATTCTTTAATTACAGTCGACCCCCTATAACACTGTTGATTTTTCCGTTTTATATGAATTCCTTGTTGTACGAGTCACTTTGATTTTACAAATACGTGAGCCGTTTACAGTCTGGCACACGTATTTGTAAAATCTAAGTGACTCGTACAACAAGGAATTCATATAAAACGGAAAAATCAACAGTGTTATATGGGGTATTCGAGCTTTTATATAAATTGTAGAATGTAGGAGTTAGAATTTTTAAGAGAAAACAGAGAGAGAGAGAGGTGGAAACAAAGAGTTAGAAGTCCATCACTTTCAATCCCTTGCATATTTTGCTTCGCTTTAATATTCAAAAAAGACGGTATTACTAGGAATATTATTAATGTGAAAAATATAGAATATTCTAGCTACACTCTGGATAAAAATTTCTGATGGATAACGCTATCTAAAGTCTTCCTCCATCTCAGTTTCTCTCTGTGGATAGGAAACAATAGCTGATGGGAAAACGATGTAAATTAGCCTAGACATTAGGGAGCTGGGATCTGTACCTGAGCTGTGTTAGATCAAGGCTAAAGCGAATGATACTCTCGACGGTCTTATGTGTTGTCGAGGGTTGATTGATTTCGCTACAAGATCATCGGAGAGCTAGCTGGGTAAAGTCCCACCAGTGAGAGCAGTCCACACATTTATCATGGCGACCTCCAAGACGGTTATACTTAGGTAAATGATGATTATCTGCTCCTACAACTTTAAGGGAGGATGGGGATAAAAAACTAGTAAAGGGTAGTCCACGGTACAGGATGGGTGAAGGGTATTCTTCCCCTCATTGTGCTCAATAGGGTAAGATTATAATGTTTCGATTAAGTCGATGCAATAGTCTGATAGATGCATCGACTACAGCTTCGACGATGGAACTTTTCCTCGCTAATGGTAGAAATATATATCCTAATTGGATGNAGAATGGTAAATTACTTTAATAAATAGAACGATCGTGGATTTTATTTTATTCCAATTGAATATTTTTTTCTAGGATGAATGATCCGTTATGGATGATGATGATGATGATGATGATGATGATGATCCGGTATATTCCAGGTGAGATTTGAATATTAATAGATGGAATTTAAGATGCGATTTCCTCTTTAGCAACTTCACAGACATAAAAGTTGTCCCAGGGATGATGAATCTATCAGAGATAATTTCTGCCATCTCACTCTCAGGTTGGGGGTAACAATAATCATAGAAAGAACACAGTCTGCAATAATGATTTGAAATATTCCTACAGTGAAATTAGATTTCGCGACCTTCATTACAAGTCTCCTGGTCTGCAACCATTAAAGGCGGGAGGGACGTTGATGATGGACAACGAACATTAGAGAGGAGCTGGAGATTAAAAGAAAGACCTAATTGTGCTAATGGAAAGAGAGAGAAACGATAACAGTACCAAACTGCGAATCATTATTCGTTTGAAATGAGAAGGAGATGTTTGGACTGGACATTTTCAAGATGTACTTGTTAGTAGTTTAATATACGATAGAAATTTCTTAGCCATTAAAAGACAATATATGCAAATTTAACATTAAATGCTTATACGTACAAGAACTTCTATATTCTGTTTGGTTTATGGCCGAATCTTAGAAACAGAATGAAAAATGGTTAATGACTTTTTCAGTAAAATTCATTTTTTTTCCATCATCGTCCGTCTAAAACAAAGAGTCTGAACTCCCTCTCCGAGGAGTACAATCAGCTTGCAAATTGACCATCCGGTTGGAACTCAATGCTCACAGATAACCGAATCAGGATCTCCCAGGATAGTTTCGAGCATCCGCAAAACGAGTTTTCTTTATTATAATTGCTTTCATGATAAAGATGGGCACGTGCAACCACCGCAGACTCCCTGGCAATTGTAATAATCTTTAATTAAATTGTATCAAATAAAGATAAATTTGCGTAATTGAGTATTTTTATTCATTTTTTCTACGATAATTCATCGAAAACCATCGCCTGTTTTCAATTTTATTGAGTGTGTCTGAGACCGACTTTCCCTTTTTGGGAATTTCTCTACATCCACATTAGCATTGTCACTTTAATATCGCAATTTTTCTATTAATTACTCAAGTTATATCATAATATTCCACAAGTAAATTTGACAAAAGGTATGATATTACACGATAACTTTGCAAAGATATTCGGTTAATGGAAAGAAAATAATGAGAAAAATGCAGAGCACAACTTGTGTTTTTCTATTTATCATCACGATTCAGGCAGACTTCTATTTACGAAGAAACTGTGTTAAGTTGCCGAAGTAATTATTTTTCTTTGTGCCAATTTTCTCCAGTGCACAGTTTGTTTGTTCATTGATTGATTAATAATGACCATGTGTGATGCAAACATTCGATTCTTACAACGTATAGTAAATGAAGACGGTGGATTTTTAATGGTTTTTATAATCGATGGCTTGCAAAAAAAAATAAAACAAAAAAAAAACTTGAAGCGAGGAAAACGAAAATATTTATAAAACCAGTAAATAATGATGTTTGATTTAAAGTTTAAAAGGTTCTCATTGTGCTTCGTACCCAATGACACAGAACATAGTATCTCAAGCAAGAAATGATGACACTGACCTCATACGGTGACCCAGACAGTTGCAAAATTGAAGATATTGACGTCAGAGTTTCGTCAACCATTCACAAAGTATCTGAAGGAAGAATTTTCGATTGAGATTCGATACCCTGTCATCAGGTAGTGAATATCTCCATCGAAGAGAACCAAGAGATGTGGCTTGTGTTTATCGATGCATGAATGGTTAATTTCCGTTTCCCTGGAGATGTCATTAGTGTCAAAAGTCTAGAAGGCTGAAGTGAGTCCGTACTGTGATTAATCATTATTATACTACGACGGTAGCTTGGCAGCTCAAATTGGCTGCTTCGTATATAGGATCGCTATACTTAGCGAGCATAAATCACACATCCAGCAACTTGGATTAAGTAAATAAAAACGTCTCCCTGACAAACAAATTACACTGTTTTCTTTAATCGGCCTCCTTCTTCTAAAAATTAATGCTTTTTTTTTTTTAAACTAAGCAAGGTACTACGTCCCGGCAGCAGCAGCAGCATTGTGAAGAGTTGGTCCCCCGGGAATGCTTTCTTTTCGCATTGATGAACATATCAACGCTTTCCAAAGATTCTTTTTAGACGTTCCGCTTTTTTTTTGGTAAAATAAGCCGCTATTTCATCGATTGGAAATTTCGAAATATGTTTCTTCTTAGTCAATTTCGGTAATTTTGCATCGGAAGAGAGGGCACAGATCCATCCATTTCGCCAACAAATATAGATTGGCGACAGCTTTTTAATGATTTTTACTCATTCTTCCGCCGTTCGCGAAAACATGAAAGATTGCAAACTTTCAAAACACCACCTTCCCCGTCTTCTAGAAAAGCCTAAAGCCCTTGGGAAAGGAAAAAAAAAAACCTGTCGAGTAATCAAGATAGATTAGATGAAGTTTTCCCGGTCAGCGCAATTGGTTATGCTACGGTCAGATGACCCTAACACCAACTCTGGATTCATTATGTGAATCAAATGTTGATCTAATTCTAAATTTGCATTTAATTATTTCAATTGAAGTCTTTTTTTTTCCTTTGTTTTCCCCTCTTCTTATTAGCGAAGCGTATGGATAAATCTTGGAAGTAATCCTATTTGTTTCTTTACATCAGATTGTATTTGACAGAGTAAGCAATATTGACTGAACTGAATAATCGATAACTATACAAGAATGGGAAGAAAAAAAAAAAAAGAAAATATGCATTCTGTCGGTCCCAAAGCAGCTGTAGTTGATTCTATAAAGAGGAATAAATTGCAGGTAGAACATTTCCAATCAAAAAATTAGATGCAAAGAAACGTTTTCAATTTGTGATTAATATCAATGTCATCGCTGGTTATTAAGAATTTTTATTTCATTTGAAATATCTACTTTAAATGGTAAAGGAATCTAGAAATAAATATGAATATAACGACGATAAATCACTGTTTATCATTAATTCTCTCGACCCGTTATTATAAGTCCCAATACATAAAGTTTGTATAGTTTAGAAATTCGTTTTCTTTCCATATTTGTTTAGGGTCATCCAATTATAATTATCTTCAAATATATTAACGCTAAAAAGCATGGAATAAATCGCTAGATTCTCTTCTATAAGTATCTCGCATCAGAATGGTTTCAGTCGAGAACATAAGCCACAGTTTTAATTTGTCGCAGCTATTGGTCAGATTTATTTAATGGAAGCCTATTTTATGACTGTTTCTTGCATCTATGCTTCAGTTATTAAGGTTAATTATATGTAGTAACGGTTTATGGCGTTAAGTTCCATTAAGGTAGATGATTTATGTAAGGATGTGTTGCAGGTTCTTTCATATAAGATCTTGGGAAGGATATCAAAAATATTTTCCTAAATACTAAAGAGTTCTAACGGTTTTTCTTCTAAAGAATATATTAATTACCATCCATTCTAATTATTGGAAAAAAGATTATTATAATAATAATTATTTTTTTTAAGTAGAATTGATTAAAGTTCGGCGTGTTTAACGAGTATAAATTAACGTACGATTCTTAGAAAATTTTCATTACCGGATTGCATGGTCTGTTGTGTGCTCTTTTATTTACATCAAAGCTGGTTTTTATAAAACTGGATTGTAGTTTAAACCGTTGTCCTTAAAAAATAATTCCAGATTTACCAATCAATTATTTAAAAGAAAACTAACGAGATACATCTGTAAGTATCTAACATCGTGCAGTCAAAAATAACGATCCGTCCCCGGCTCTCTCTCTCTCTCTTAGTCCTACCGGTTTTTTTTTTTTTGGACAGAAAAAAAAAAATGTATACTCTACCGTCAAATCCCCTCAACATTGATCGCAGTGAATGTTTCCCTCCCTCAGCTAAAGAATGAGGATGACCTACTAGATAACACCTCTGTCATAACGTGTCGTCTATTCCTACTGACATCATTGGTTATCATTTGGACAATTTCCAGTGGAAGACCTTGAGGGGGCTGCTGGGGGACATACCTGACCCTCGAGTTCACTGCACCCTCGTTCGGTACTGGACACTCTCTTCGTATGGGAATTTCAACGGATTTATTTGATCCTTCTTCATCCACCGTTGCCTGATGTTATGACGTGACATACTTCACGCGAGAATATCACGTAGTTACATATGTTATGTAAACAAGAGAATGTTGTGTACCGAAGGAATTTAACACATATTCCTCACGAAATTAATTGCTCTTTATTTTTCAATTGCTCATTTATCAATATTAAATGATTTTTTTTTTAATCGAGATTTAATTAAAATGTGTTGGCCTGCGATAACTGTATTAGTTCCAGATAATGCTTCGTCGTCTTAAAAAATAATATATAAGAGTGATAGATAGTTATTAAATGAATAGCGTTTTAAAAGGCTTTAAATCGGAGGACGATAAGTTAAAGAAATAATGAAGATCCGGAATAACGACCTCTCGACTAATCCGAAAATTCGAAGAGGGCGATAATCGTGTGACCTATCAGGTGTGGTCACAGGTCCTTTCCGTTATCTCATCGGCAATGGTTTTAGAAAGTAACGATTAACGGCGCCGATCGAGATATCTGAAGATGTTTATTCGTATCTTTGTTTAGATAATTGAAAGGACAATTATTACTGCTTAGCAGATAGTGTCTACAATGATGTAAGTAATCTGTCATAGCTGTCACCCTGATCTCCACCTATTGTCTCTTAGAAAAATCAAATACGCTCCGGACATACTAATTGTTATGCAAGGCCGATCTCACTCTTTTGGCCCCAGGCTTTATAGCAGCCACGTGTGCCACTGCGGTCCTGGCAGGTGGAGCTCGCACTTCGTTCCCGGCAAGGAAACAGATCTTCCTGCTAACGACGCCTTTTTATCTAACCCATCAACTGTCAGTGCAAACCAGCAGAACCAGGCCTACGGCTTGCCACCCAAGTGACGGATCTCGGCTCTTCACGCGTGTATGTTATGTCACGAATGACACACCGTGACTTTTCTCCTCTTTGCCATTTACCACACACCCACTCTCCATCAACAGCAATAACCTTCAAGTGTCAAAATCAGAAACATCGCCGCTTTCGACTGCACAATCTGACGTATGGAATAACTGAAGATACCGCCATCTAGGAGAAGAGATTAAGTTTTGATCGCGACAATCCCTCCCCCCTGTACGTTTTTATCAATTTTAATTATTATTCTACACTGTTTTTTTATTATTGTGGGAGGTGAAAACTAATCACGTTCGAATTGGCTCCCCATTGCTTCATCCGTTATAGATTATATTGGGGGATGGTTCGAGATCGGGTGGTGTTTTTTTTTTTTACTTTTCTGTAAAATTTTTTAACCTCTGGAATGTCGCAATTATTAGTAACCATAGTTATGGTAGCCCGAGGATAAAGAAGCTTTGGTATAAAAGAACCATGTCAGTCACACATCGCTAAATCTTTGGTATTTCTTATTATCTAAATAAAACGACTCACAACAGAAATGGCTTTTCGTTTATAGTATCTACCTCGAGGCAGCGGTATTTTTTTTTTATTTTTTTTTATTATTTAAAAAGCGTCGCCTTGATCAGAAAGGATTTATGTTACTTTGTTTATTTAAGCCCATTTTTCACTCCAGGCTGTTGGCCTTTCCATCTATGATGTATATATTTCATAAAAACCCAAGAGAAACTCTTTTAATTAAAAAAAAAATATACATATCTATCAATTAAAACAGCTTTGTTATTATTAGAACTGTCACACAAAGAATAATGATTAAGTAATAATAATATATGACATTAGAGAAATTTGATTCCTTTTAATATATATTTTTCGTTGGCTTTGGACTTTGGAACTATATCGAGGTAATTTACTTTTTAAAGGCTACAGAAACACCTGCAGTTTTCTGCAAAGGTTTCTCTTAATGAATTGAATTTAAAAAAAGAAGAAGAAGAAGAAGAAAAAAAATATATATATTATCTCGATCCGTACATTAAAAATTCTTCATCCAAGTAAGTGGGAGAATCACCTGCTTCAAATATTCTTTTCTGTGATATTAGAGATTAATATAAAAAGAAAAAAAAAAGAGCATTAAAAAAATCTGTCATGTACAACTACCACTGGGAGAAAACGTCGAAAATTCCA